TTGTTGTGGAAAGAGGTCTCGCAGTAACTCCATTGCAATTTTCCATAATAAATTTCTCTACTGCACGACTGCCAAATATGAACTGTCAAGAGTAATGTTTACCAAAATGGCGGCGAAACAAAGTAGTATACCTTCCCGGCGGACACCCGGTATTATGTATCAGTTTTGAAACTATTCCACCTTAAAGATTACACTTCTCTCTTTGCTTTTATACCCCTAAAACCATGCTCAAGTCCGTCTCAAAAGTAACCCAAAAAATGTCAACCTTTTTTTTCTGTTGTGTTTTTAGAAAAATGTAAAAACACGTCTATTAGTAAGTATATAAAAATTGCTATTTTGTGAAAATGGCTTAAACATTTTGACAGATCTATGACGTCATCGCTAATGTGTTTAATAGCACCTCCATTGTTTTAACATAAAGTGATTGTCCCTTTAAAGAGGAATTTTTAGCGTAACACATCGAAGTTGAGGTAAAGCTTATGTGCTCGTGTTTCTGTCTGTCCGTCCGTCCGTCCGTCCATTCCATCGAGATCTCGGCCCCTGGGTCACCTAGAGACCTTGGGTTTTCGCTAATTGATAGCTGTTATGGTCTATATTTGCCCATTTCGATTAATTTCATTTAACTCCATACTTTGCGCAGACTGGGCAATGCCAACTTTCATATTTATGGAGATATTTCTTTGAAATTTTAGCCACAGACACTTCTAGTAAAGGTAAACATTTCGCACATAATAAAAATTATGTGTGGCCATGCCCAGTGATGTGTGGGCATACTGCGCAATGCCAAATTTCTTATTTATGGAGATATTTCTTTGAAATTGTAACCACAGATGCTTCTAGCAAAGGCAAACATTTCGCACATAGTAAAAATTATGTGGGCATGCGCAGTGACTGTGCAATGCTAACTTTCTTATTTATGGAGATATTTCTTTGTCATTTTAACCACAGATGCTTCTAGTAAAAGTAAACATAGCCAACTTTCTTATGTATGGTAATATTTCTTTGAAACTTTATTTTTCTTATTTAACTCCTATCATTTCTCTGGCTCAAACATTTGCAATTTCAATTTGTGAGCGTGCGTATTCTCGCTTAGAAAACATGCCGTTTTCACTGATATATTCACTATTTCACCTTATTTGATTTATTTTTTTTATTTATTTATTTATTGTCCCTCTTATTCTAGGCCCTCAACAGGCTTACGCCCAATTACAGAGTGACCCGCATATTGCTTTTTTAGAGGTGCCCCTGCAGAAGGTCTTAAGTTGTTCTATACTACTATAATAGGTAGATATCATATAAAAATTATATCGTTCCATTTGAAATATTGAGATTAGAAATTGAGTAGAGAATATCGTTAGGTTTTTGAATGGAAACCCCTTATTTTTATATCTGTATCTGCACACAAAAAATATGGCTAACCTTGTATATAAAGTAGCTTAGTCTAAAAATTTTCACTTTTCGTAATTTTTTCTGTAGCAAAAATAGTACGTACAATTTTAAGAATTTTTGTTAGTTGGCCATGACTCGTCGCGTCGTCATTTCTGTATTGCTTGGTTGTTGGTCTCATAACCAACTAACAAAATTTTTAATTTATTCAAGGTCTCATTTCTCTTTTGCATTTACAAATTGACTAGATCGTTTGTAATCCATTTTTAGCGAATTTTTTTAAATTTAAAATTGGTTGCGTTTTGTCCTTCCACCTGTTCGTCTGCGGGTCACTCCGTCCGTCCGGACCCACTTCTGCGGTTTTGAACTACTTTTAGAGGAATGGTCCTAGAGTTCTGGAATGTTTTGTACGTATGTAGCCTATACCTCGAAGGCATAGTTAACAATTCTTTAGGGATGAGGCTACATGATATGAAGTCGGCGACATCCGGGCGCCATCCCCGAGCGTGGTTTACTAACGTGGATCTTCCTGCAGAAGAAGATAAAAAACTAAAAAAATCACCACGTTAGTAAACCACGCTCGTGGATGGCGCCCGGATGTCGCCGACCCCACATCATGTAGCCCCGCCCGTAAAGAATTGTTAATTATGCGGCCCGGTAGGTACAAGTACATTCCTCATCTTTCTACAACTGCAGAAGAAGATATAAAAAAACTAAAAAATCACCACGCGGTTTTTTAGGAGTACTATCACCCCCTGAAATATCTGTATGAAATTAATCAACATCTAACATTTTTTGAAAAGCAAAGTTTTCCGAAGGGATAATGCTTCCCGTGTACGGATTTTTACGATCGTGGACCGTCAGTCATTAAACTTGAGTGATTCATGAGCCCCTTCCTGTCTGCGCCGTAAGCGGCGGGTTACACCGCGCTTACGCCTAAAGCCGACCCTGATTGGTGATGTCAAAACTTTACGAGCGGATATCTCGAAAAGGCTTTGTCGGAGGAAAATACGCACAAAATTTTCTATTTCGGGGTGCATTTTCTGGCCAATGATTGCAGAGCAATGATGAACCGGCATTATAGCTCAGTGGTAGAACGTTGGGGTATAAATCCGGAGGTCGGGTGTTCGAACCTGGTTTGAGGTGAATTTTTCATCTGTGGCAGAGATGGGATTTTCCTTAGATCAGTTTCGAGCATTCTTCCGGCTACTCCGAATTAGGTTTTCTTGCAGTCCTAATTCGTAAGGTAAATACCGGAGTAGTATAGAACAACTTAAGACCTTCTGCGGGGGCACCTCTAAAAAGCATTATGCGGGTCACTCTGTAATTGGGCGTAAGCCTGTTGAGGGCCTACAACAAGAGGGACAATAAATAAAAAAAAATTAAAAAAAAAATGATTTTTGTATGCACCTACTGAAAGTAGACATTTCAACAACAAATTTGATTTTTTTGATAACATGGGTATTTTCGGTTTAAGCTATTGTCACTTATTTAAAATGTAATGTCAAAATAAGTATTTTGCTTGGGACACAAATAGGTAAGTTTGCAACTAAATCCCTTGGAAAACATACAGGGTGATTCCTATAGTACCTGCCACCGTTTGGGAGCGTGTAGGTGGTGCGTAGGGGAGTATTTTGATATAGGACACTTGGGGTCGGAAATCTAAAATAAGGGTGCCAGAGCCAAATTTACCTTCTGGAATTTCGCGCCTGTAGGTAGGCAACCCAACCGGCCGGCGGTGCACACGGAGCGATCTCAGGCGGCGATGTGTGGCTGACACTTGATCAGAATTTTGTTTAAACCCACGAAATCCCGTCTGCAACGACGCGTATCAAGTGAATAAACACTATGGCAATAGTATAATAATAGTTGGCTAGATGTAGGAAGTGCATTGAGAACAACGGTGGCCACGTTGAACACTTGTAAACGTTATTGCTTTTGACTGTCGTTTTCCCTCCTTCCCTCCCATGTCGCTTCCTCGCGCTAACTCGCTCTGCATCGCTCCGCGCGAAACGTCGGTCGGTTGGGTTGCCTACATACAGGCGTGAAATTCGAGAAGATAAATTTGGTTCTGGCGCCCTTATTTTGGATTTCCGACCCCAAGTGTCCTATATCAAAGTACTCCCCTAGGCACCCCCTATACGCTCCCAAACGGTGGCAGGTACTATAGGAATCACCCTGTATACATAATTAAAACGGAAAATGTAAGGTTAGGTAAAAAAACATACAAAAGTGGTAGATCTTATTATTACATTCACATTTAACTTTTTCATGGGAATTTTTCGAAGAACAAAAACTCGCCTCACGTAATGGTTTTGTCCGTCCGTCTGTTCCTCGTCTAACAAAAAATCTGGTTTCCTTTTACGAGCCGAGTGGCAAAAAATTCCCCTACTGAAAATCGCATCGTTTTTCGTATCTTGTTGATTGGAGGTTCAGTTTCCCTGGAAGTCGTGATAAAATATTTTCCACACTCCAAAACTCACCCCATTTGATTCTTCTCCATTCGGATTAATTTTATTTTGCCTATTATAAACACAATATTTTCCTTTCCAATGATTCTGATGCCAAAAAAGTATGTCGCTAGATATTAATTAGGGCCAGGTGTGGTTAAGGAGTAATAATAATGCACTCTTTGGTTTAAATTAGTTATTGTTTGAAAATATTTTGGGCATTACTAAGCACCAGGATATATAAGCAGAGGGGAAGTATTCGAAATAGCACTTCCATCGGCGTTTCTGGAACATGTCAATTTGAATTTCATCAGATTAGGTGCATTTTGTAGGCGAGTTATCATTGGAATATATGATTATCTGTTTCGATTTACTATGGGGATACTTAAGTATTATTTATTTATTCAGAATTAACTTGTTTAAAAATTCCTGGCTTTTTAAGGTTAAATACAAACTGAAAGTTGATCACCACATTAGAGGCACTTAAAACAGTTATTTATAGGACCTCATTGACATCCACTTTTATCACTTAATAATTTCGAAAGGAAATAAATTTAATGGCGAGTTGGAAATAAATTTAAATAAATCTTGTTAGAATTTATAATTTATTGGGTAATTTAAGAGGTAAAAATCCCCTCGTATTCCTGGTAAGTGCATGGTTTTTGCGTCGTCTCATTGTTAACACTAAAATTACTATCCCATTATGCGTGCATGTAAAACAGCTATCGAACTCCATCCATTGTTGTTACATCCTAGGCCTAATGACTTAAATCATTCGAGAATGTAAATTCGAAAGGAGGAATATAAATTAAGAAGGTGATTGCACTAATAAATTTATACAAAAACAAACATCGAACTGGCGAATGCCAACAAATTGTAAATTTGCATTGCATGCATTCATTTGTAGAACGGCAGAAGGTAACGTCCGAGGTGGGAAGTTGCTCCGTTTACGGTAACTTTGGAAAACGCAATAATTTGATAGCGCAATGGTCGTGAAGTGTACGCTTTACGCGCCGAGTCAAAATAAAAATACACGCCGCACTTCCCGAAGTCTAGCAAAGACTAGAGAACATAAGAACGGGTTAATAATAGCTTACGATGTCTGTAGTTCCAAATATGGTTCAATCTCGAGTTACACGAACGTCCAAATGCAGAATATACTTTTTAGTTACAGGAGAGAGGGCGTCGAGACGGTTATTTTTGACGGCGCTCGCCTTCTACGGAAAACGTGCTAGTTAGCGTCATCTCGCGTCCCGGCGCACCTCTCAAATATGTAGACTTTTAAGTGAAATTAATTTAATAAAAATCCCGAGTTAATAATGGTGGCAATTTTCAACAGCGACCTAATCGTCTAGACGAGATTATGATTCGTTCGACCAGAAATAAACAGAACTTACGCTTTTGTTTACAAAAATGACTGTGATTCTGTAACATGTAACCGAGAATCGTATAGGTACTTAGTGTAAATATTACAATACATTCTGTGATAACTTTTTATCCTTATGCGAAAGTAAGTAACGAGTTTTTGTGGATTAAGTAGACTAACTGAAATGTGTGCTTGTTCCATTCATTAAAAAAATTAATAAATTTGTTGAGCCAGTTTCTTCATCGCTCTTGGCAAATGCACCAGCATGAACTGATTCAAAGGTACCAAAGTTCAAATTGTAAAGCTCGTCGACAGGTTAATGCCAATCAATGCACCATCATTGGGGAAAAGTCATTGACTAATAATACTTTATATGTAATTGTATAACTATAGAGCTATTTTTAAGATTTTCTCTTAACGAAAAGCTTTGGATTACGTCACCAGCTCTATAAGTACTTAATCCTTATTTGCAATGGCAAATCTTTTGCCCAAAAAGTTTGTTTGGTGCTTATAACAAAGTTGGCTTCTTGAATCTTGGACATTACAAAAATCACTTTGGTACCTACTATTATTCATGGCATTGGTTGGTTTCCCTACCAAATAATGATTATATATATGAATGATATAATGGTGATCTCGAGGGTGATCTCAAATGAAGCATTTGTTAAACTTGTTTTTTGGAGAATGTTTCGTGAATATTTTGGATATGAAACATTTCTTTGGTCGGCACATCATCTACAACTACATCAAACATCATTTAAAGACTTTTGATCATAAAACGCAATAAACGTCCAATATGAAATAAACGAATGATATTATGAGGTGATATTGATATGTATATGACCATATAAAATGCCACAATATTTTAAAACAAAATTTAATTTATTGAAACAAAAACAAAAATTCCAAAGGTGACTCGACAGCAACTGTTTTTTGATCGTGTAGACTGTAGTATGTACTATGCAATCAAAAATGAGTTGCTGTCGAGTCGCCTTTGATATTTTTGTTTACATGGAAAATCGTGTTTAACTTGAACTTCCAAACGCGACTCGACAGCAACCCATTTTTAATTGCCCGTTAGTAGAGATCCTATATTCTCTTGATTCAGCTTCGTCAGGCTACTATTTTCAAAGCTGGTCAACCAATTCAAATCTAACTTAACAGTTTGTATGCACTGGAATCAAGGGTTTGTGGACAGGGTAGTTATCTTGCAAGTAGAATACACTTTTGGCAAGTTTTCCGCGTATTTTTTTACCCAATTCGCTCTCTTGACAGTACCACCTTGATAAGAAGTGTAACGGACCTTTGCCCTAGAAAACTGAAGCTACGCACGGAATTTATTGCAATGCTTCCACTGTTAGTATTTGGATCCTAATGCTGAATCATTGTATCGTCCCTACTGACAATAATTCGATGCAAAAAGTTTCAGGGATCTGTAGAACTACGGCATATTTTTTCGGCATTGTCACGCGAACAGTTTTTTCTTACATATTACTGTGTGCAATGCCGTGTGGTCACTGGGCCATACACAAAACATCTCTAACTATCTCAAACCAAATCAAAATTGAAACTTACAAATTAAAAATCTCTCCTGATACAGATCCGCCATCTTTTATAAAGAACAATCTTATTACTGACTTAACACTTCTCAATTTGAGAGACTCAGTGGCCTCCAAGGAATTTGTGAATAAACTTTGGATTAACCTCTGAAATAAATCTTTTTCACGAAAAGAAATAAAAATGTGACATGGAAAACTCACAATTAATTGATTGACAATGCCCAAAATTTATCCCGATACACATGAAGCTTATCTTTTTTGCACATAATACTCCGCACGCAGGCGGTCGATAATTAAAAATAAAACATTTTAAATTAATTACAGTTTTTTTCTCTACCAATCCAAATAATCAGGTTGTAAAAGGTTTGCGCTATTGAGGAGCACGTACCAATGATACAAAAATACTCACTGACAGGTTCAGGAAACTTCTTGATAAATAAGATAAAAAGAGAAATTTTTGGTGGCTGCTCGGACGGTAGAAACTTTCAACTCTTAATGAAAGGTTGCACTAAGCAGACAACTGCTTTGTTTACCAACATTCGGACGAACTTTTTCTGAATACAAACAGATCGTTTTAAAAACTTTCTACAAACTTTTACTACTTCGCACTTAACGATAACTTAAATCTTATATTAAGATTCCTTAACTTCTTCTGCATATCTTATTTCGAAAGGCACTTTCGACATTATCCCTTTTAGATTCTACATTTGTCGATATTGTTCATTGACACCAACACCCAGGAATACACATAAATGATGATCTTTATTATCAATTTTTTGAAAAAAAGTTTTCGTTGTAAAAGCGAATGAAGTAAATCAGTACTTTCGGAGAAGGCAATTAACGTATATCCAAAAAATGGCACTTTTAAATGAATATTGCGCGTATGCGTGTACGAGGTCAGTTCAAAAAATACGTATACAGTTTGAATTGCGTGTGCCCAGTTGGTTTCAGGAAAATGCAGATGCACTGGGCGTTGTCATATTGGTACAAACCGATTAAAGACAGTTTCTTGTTTGCAAATTGGTTTGGCGAATTTTAGAATGCGAGACAGTGTTCCTTTTCCCTGATGCTCAGGTACCCCCTGACCGCGACTACCCAAGGCTACACGGTAAGCTACTACACCGAAATCTTAAACGTCAGCTATCTGATGGAAGAATTCCGAAATGTAGAGGAATCATGACACTCGATCGTTGTTCTTTCTTACAAAAGAGCATTAAAAACCAGAGTGTGTCGGAGAGGAGAGTACTTTAAAAAGGACCCAGACACCATAACTTCTACATAAAGTACATTGCGTCTTATGGCGTCTGTCTCAGTATCTTTTTGAACATCCCTTGTAGATTGTATTAGAAGTACACATAATGTTTTATGACTCTCGGCACACTCAAAAATAACTTCAATCAAATGATTCTGTCTTCTATATAATTAAATAAGTGTTATCTTCAAAACTTGACATCAACTTTTTCATTCAAAAAATAGACCCATAAAAGGTACTTCATGGGCATCAAGCTAGTGTAAGTACACGTTTTTTGAGTGAAATCAGTAACGATTTTGGTGAAAAATGCACGTGGTAATTGAAAATTCATGACACAACTTCTTGGGCAAAATCGTCTTCACGTGTTCCCAACGAAATCAATAAACAGTAATTTTGATACCTCTTCCTCAAAATACGCGTGGGTATAAATAATGTGCCAAAAAGTTCACTTCTTGGGCAACGAATGCGTGTGGTAATTTTTCCAATCAAATCGGTAATAAATGAGGATTTTAACTTCTTGTGGACAAATGGCGCGTGATCATTAACCAATAACCATGCATTAAATTTACCCTTGAACATCAAAAGATGCCTATGGGCATTTTCCCAACGAAATTGATAAGATATAAAGAAAGATTTTTTGGTATAGGAGCGAGCAATTGTTAGATATATCTTAACCTTAGGTTAAGTGCTATTGCTAGTAAGTGTCCACAGAAGTGACTGCTTCTTTCTCTCTTACAATACCTCACTTCCTTCTTTTTGTCGCGATCTGTAAAAGAAAAAAAAAGCGCGCCCTCCGGTGGGTTCGAACCCGCGTCATCATAAGCGAAACGTGGCAGCTTTGCAGTTGTGCTACGTATCATCCTATTTAAACATTGGTCATAAAGCGTCAAACTAATACGTACAATTAACAATAATCTTAAATTTTAATTCTACTCGTATATTTCCTTTAAAATGGACAAATGCACTTTAAATAATTGTGAACCATCACGAGCACGCCGGGCTCGCCTTCCGTTACGTTACGCGTGACGACCACAGAGTATAGAAGCATACTCAATATACCGTGGCGTTACGCATGAGATGATTTTACCCCCTTCTAAAACATATAGTGCATACCAAGCGATAAAGACTAGTCACTTCAATAAACTGGGGCAATATGTAGAAAATTTCTAATTGAGTTTTTCATCTCTACCCCTTCTCCATGACTTAAAAGTTTATTATAGAGCATAAAAGGCTGAAAGGGGAAGCTTCCTCTTCTGACTCTTTTATTAGGTACCTATACGACCTATGTAGCTGTCTACGATTGAACTTTGGTCCACGATTTCTTTAGTTTTGTATTTCGATTTGTTGAATACTGTATTAGTAGGATAACAAAGAAATCCGATATCTAAGGTATCTAAGACTAGATGCAGGAAAAAGGAAAAGAATAGCAGACTCTTTAATAGTAATAGATAGATATTCCTTCGGGACTTTCTGAAGTCAGTGAAGGCTGTGGGCAGTGCGATGGGCATGGATTGGTGATAAATATAAACTCCGCGTGAGTGTTGTCGGCACTACATTTTCTGTTATATGGCCGAGGCGATGTGGTGACGGTCATGGGAGGATGGGGTTAAAAAACAGAGGTTTTGGAAATTACTTCCTGGGAAAATTCGTTCTGCCTTTAGCTTTTATTGAGTATATCATCCCCGCTTGGCAAAATGTTCGCACTTAAAAAAGAAGTAAATATAAGCTTAACAGTTCCTGCATTGTAATGGTTTTGTCCGCTCGTTCGTCTGTCTGTCGGTCTGTTCCTCGTCAAGCTCGAGAATGAAAAGAGGCAGCGACGTCAAACCTTCGCGAATCGATTTCTACGAGTTCAACTATCAGTGGTATTGAATATGAGCCGGATTGAAAGTAGTGTTTCCGAATGCGAGTGTCAAAAAATTCCTCTACTGAAAATCGTATGCGATTCTTCATATCTTTTAATTTAGATTATTAGTCAGAATTAGAATATTAATTCTTCACATCTCCGTTCTGTTTTCATGCAAGGGAAATGTTGCCTATTTCAGAAAATTGTTGTGAAGCATATAGTTTGTTCCATCACAGCACCTGACTTACCTACCCTACGGGTAAAAACATTACTGTTTAGAAACCTTTAGAAATTCATCTATACGGTTGCCGATGATGCAATTTTCAACAATGAAGAAGACGAATGTGTTTGTACACGTGTGGACGAAATTGTAGTTGGTGATAGGTACTTGAAGCAAAGAGTACCTCTTTGCTTGAAGTACGGTAAAGGTGTTCGTGTTCCACGAGGAGCTGTCTATGAGGGTTGTACAGAAAGTAGCAGACGTTTTGAAATAAACAATTTTAAACTTGTTAAGAAAATCTATTATTGTATTCATTTGGAGGCTACACTTGACTTTTGGACTATTTATCAACACAAGCGCCATTCAACCACTGGTTATCGCCGACTTGAAGTTCGGCATCAATGTCTCAATTTGAATGGCGCTTGCGCTTGTGTTGATAAATAGCCCAAGAGTGTAGCCTCCAAATGTATACAATAATAAATTTACTTTACAAGTTTAAAATTTTTTATTTCAAAACGTCTGCTACTTTCTGGACAAACCTCGTATTATTATGGGAATTGATCAAGGTTGTTCCATTTTTCAAAAAGTTGTAGGGCTAGGATTTTGATGATTTTATATCTTTTTTTTCTGAAAGTCTGAGACATTGCTCTGTTATGTATAAACGTGTTTTGGGATAAATTGTATCAAATGTCAGTAACTTGTTGGTGCATTTTTTTTTTTTGCCATTTTTGAGGGATATGGTATTTTTTGCTCATTTGTATGATATTTCCAGCATTTTTTGGTTTTTGTGTGCTTTACTTTAAATTTTTTGTATTTTTGAGGATTAGCGCTATTTTTTGTTGTTGATATTTTACGATTTGTTGAAGTTTTATTTTTAATGCAGTCTATAGATTTCTAGAACAAAATGCAATATTTTTACCTGTTTACTTTTGAGATGCGGTCAGTGAGTCAGTAACTTACACACTGCTTTCTACGACAGGCCTGCAGTGGGTCGAAATGAATCAATAATGACATTATTGCCTTATCTTACCTAACTAATGGTTTCCTAAAATAATTTTGCCGTCTTATTCAGTTTCTTTAGTAAAGTTTGCCATTTTAACGTCGTTAAAATCCTAGCCTTAGCGGGTTATTACAATTGGCATCGACAACATGTACTATATGTTGTCTGTGCCATTAGTTTCCAATACCTATACCTAATACTCGATTTTAAATCAACACGATATCTACAGTTTTCGAACTAAAAAAATCTTTTTTGTGACTTGTGGTCTGTTCTTTAAGGATGATGGTGTTATCAAAATGTGGTGATAGTAAGTAAATGCGGCTTTCTATGAGGTTGGATTGGTAAGAGCTCAAACGCTTGGACCGCCTCACCGAATTCAGGAAGGTGTAAGGTTTCCAAATATTAATGGCGTATTGTAATTTTTTGGGTTCTGCTTTCTTCTTCCACCGGAAATACTTTCTGTCGTTGACCTACCTCTGTTGATGTCAAATATGCGTTTCTGAAAAACGCTGTTAATGGCGCCATCTGACGCAGGTCTGTTGGCAACGGCTTTTCAAAGGAAAATGCTCATCTTTATTTCAGTGCTCTCATACAGCTCCGGGTTTTGTAAGTTAAGAACGTTAAATCAAGACATTTCATTAGACCATGTAATTCAGAATTCTTACTGCCAAGGACGTAACCACATTTTCTGCAATACTAGCAACAATTTAAATGACTGTAGTTACTGTGATAAACAATAATGTAATTAATTCAACGGAGTATAATGATAAACTATTTGTAAAGGATTTTTGTAATGTAGACATTCGTTTAGGATTAGTATGAATCTAAATTCTAACGTTAATTTATATCGAACAAAATAAAAGTTTTATATAAATGCATTTTAATAAAAAAGCAAAGAACTTATCAATTATCCTTTTAAAGTTTAAATAAAAACATGCAGGAAATTAAGAAATTGAAATTTAAGGAATTCGGGTTTCAGCTTCTATAAAAATATCGAGAAAAATACATTATTTTTAGCGCATTTTTTATTTTTAACAATTTAAAAAAATCTGCTATTGTTTGCGTTTTGCCCGTCCGTCCGTCGGACTCACTTCTGCCGTTTCGCACTACTTTTAGGGGAATGGTCCTAGAGTCCTGGAATTTTTTGCATGCCCTTCTTTTTGTCCTCTTATCAAAATACGGGGTGGAGGGGGAAGGGGGGGGAGTGGAACTAGTTTCATCCTTCATGGTACTCTAATGAAAGATCTCAACGAAAGGAATTAATTTCTACCAACCATAGCCCTCCTCCTCGACCTCTTATCGTGATCGGGTATATTCCCTTATGCCTCAAGAACGGATTGTCGGAAGAGGGTACTCACAAAGGGCGATTCAGACGTCTGCAAGAAATATATCCATTGGTGACGTCAAAACCAAAGCTATTTCGGTAAAAAAAATGCGCTTTATTTGCACAAGAGTTGTGCACAATTTATACTTGTTTAGTTTTACTTTGATGGTATTTTCCTCCTGTTATGTATAGCTTGTGACATATTCTATTTATATATACTCAATGGTTTAGTGTTTAATGTAACCATTTATTAGTTCAATATTAACCGGGAAAACTGCATTTACCGTCGCAGTTACCTACGTCCTTACTGATACCATTTCATAGTTTTGTTTTACAATTCCATTTAGGTATTCAGGCAGACAATGAGATGGAGTTGGATTATGCTGTATTACCTCAGCTATTTTAATGATCGTAGAGCGTCTAAATCCAGAAATGTGTGGATCGACAATTCGCAGTACTTCGTTGCCTAATAGCGCAGTGGTGCAATTCTCCTGAAAATAGATGAGAAATCTTAAATCTATCGTGCTCGTATTTCCTAACCTTTAGAACACTTACATTGAAGTCCAGACCTTAGACTATGAAAGAAAGAGGGGACTGATAATATCCTATCAAGGGCAATGCTGCGCGTTGAAGCCTGTGGCGGCCATATTTTCGGAGCCAAAGTTTGTTTACTTTTTTGCATTTTCGTATTTATGCGATCCTTAAGTCTCGAAGTGTAGTGCCAAAAAACGCAAGAAGGAATATCGTTTCAGAGGTTATTATAGGTTAGTTTTCGGTGAAACAACAAACTAATTTGGACTTCATTTTAGGATCATTATTATCACTTCTACTCTTTCCTTCGCTAAGGTTCAGACCTACCCTTTCGCAGAGAATGAAATGCAAAAAATATTTGTTTTGGTACTTTACTGCCATCCCTGTGACTCATTGCGGTTTAGAAGGTTGTTTATTAATAAAAACGCTAGACTAGTATCTGTACCTGTTTACATTGAGTCACACATTGGGTCTAAAACATCGCTAATATTTATAAAGCGTAACGGTTTGGATTTTTCTATAGGTAGAAAACAGCGCGCGATGTTGGAAATTGGTAACGTTAGTTGAGCTCCTTGAATTATTTTCGACACTGTTGAGTCACAATAATACCTACATTCTGGCAAACTACGGTACGAAAACCTAAAAGCTTTAAAATAGTGGCTAATTTAGAACACCCGCAATAAAAATATTTGTTTTATGTAAAGAAGTATAATTGTGATGCTGGCAGACGACACTTGAAACTATTTACTACAATTTTGAGTAGATGCCAAGTTATGCGTGTGATATCGAGCGTGAGTGCAATCGACGTTTCATAAACAATTTATGATACGTCGAAATGGGAACAAATCATGAGTAACATTTTCTTATTTATTTCAGAAAAGACTAAAATGCAATCAGAGGAATTAGATGACAGTAGCGGTATATCTAAGGCGCATTCTCCAACGTTAGAAATGACAATCAACGTGACCGGTTCACCCAAACTTGAGCCTCAGTAAGTAAAGCAAGCGATCACAATATGGCCATAAAATGCCGACTTTCAGATTTTCATGCGACACGGATTTCTCTCTAGACAGAATAAAATTGGAATCGTACATCGAAAAGATCATCCCAGAGTCGCCGCCATGCTCGGACATCATTGAGGAGGACCCCACTTACAAGGATATGCTTCCTGATGTCGCAGAGGCCAATCTCGAACAAGACCCATTTCAAAATGTACAAGAACAACATTCTAACGAATCAATCCGTAGTTGGTTGCAAAGGATAACTCATATGCAAAATGAAATTCAGAAGAAAATGGGGTTGGAACACAACGCAGTCCTCGGGCGTTCACCATCGGAACCTGCAAATAACAAAGTAAATGCCCCCGTGCCCAAAGCGAACAAAGTTTTAAAGTACGAGGATTTACCGTATATGGGCGAAATGACCCTAGACAACTCAAAACCAAGACGAGGTAGAAAACCGAAGAAGGCCGACATTTGCCACCTAATCTATAAAAATTACGGTACAATTCTTTCGGGTGCGCCTGATTCGTCGAAGGAGCCGAGCGAACCCGAACATCATAAGAAAAAGCAAAGTTCCGCGCATCAAAAGGAGACTGCAGCCTCAAATACTAGTAAAAATAGTGTACAAAATAAGATAATAAGCAGTTTGCTAGAAAAAAGACTGACACAGGAAACGCGCAGGACCGAGTCCCTCTCAGAGTCACTAATAGGAAAGCCAACTAAACCCCGCGATCAGAATCAAGACGAACCGTTAAACTTATGCATACGCGATTTGAATCATCTGAAAATTAGATTATTGCGAAAGAACAACAAAACTTACACTTCTGACGTTGCAGAAATAAAGTCAGAGCCCCACAGCGACGATGAGGTCGAATTCATCAATGAAACATCCTCACTTTCAAGCCCGGACACGATAAACCCACCACTGGGCGACTACAACCCGAGCACCATCCCAGCCGACTCCAAAGCGTTAGAAAATGGAGTTACACCGGCGGGTTACATCTACTGGCCCAATGCCGGCGTTTTCATACATCCAATGGCCTTACAGCAACAGCTGCTGTACTATCAGCGAATGGCCGCTACGAACAATTACACATTGCCGAGCCACAGTCCGAGACCGCCGCCCGAAGGAGCCGCAAAGCCGGCTGCCGAATTGAGAAAGTTGGCGCCAAAGCTTCGGCCGAAGAAGCAAGAGCACGAAGAGCCAGCACCGTACAGCCCGGAACCGAAAACGAAGAGGACAGCGTCGAATTCGTCCGAGAAGGCGCCGATTAAACGGAAGCGATCGGCCATCTTCATTCCCCCAATTCCGACGGAGAACCAGACAAATCCCGCTACGGAGGTGAGCATATGCAAGTTTAAATTTACCGGCGGAGCCAAACCGAGCTTGCAAGAGAAGAAAATGTTGTCGGTCGATTCGGGCGGTAATTTTCGCTACTACAGCGGGACGGGCGATAAAAGTATGAGGGGTTATGAGTTCTTCCCCAGGGAGACGTTGCAGCAACAGGTGGAGAGCGCTCACGGATCGAGTACGGGAGCGTTTCTTCAGGCGAGTGGCGAGAAGATTTTCCCGCCTCCAATCGATTTCGCCGGCAAACAGGGTAATTCTGAAGTAGCCCTTGCGCCCGAAATAACCTCTCCTAGTCTAAGTAGCGTGCAGGATTTAAATTCGAGGCACAAGAAAAGGAAATCGAGAAAGTCTCTACAACGAGAGAAATTGGAGCAGACGTTTAAGGAGAAGGGCTTCTTGATACAAACGCAACAGTTGGAGTCGGCGGAAGGCGCGACGTATTGCAAATTTCGCCAGCTTAGAAAGTTTACTAGGTATTTGTTCAGGAGTTGGAAGGACTATCTTCCTGGTAGTGTCAGGGAACTAAACGAAGGCGAGGAGGAAAATGTACCCGACTTAGAAGATTTAGCGAGACTTTCCGCGAACGAACTCAGTTCTAGTGATTTGAACGGACCTTTATAATTCATTTGTTTGAAAGGACCAATTAACCAAAGATTTATAAAGACTATTTTTATAGTGATATTTAATTAATGTAAAGGACAATTTTAAGCGAATCTAATGGTGCTACGACGTGGTAATTTTTTTAAGTTTATTTTGTCATAAATTCTAGTCTTACGTTCGTATTTGCGGAGATGTTTACTAAACGCATGTATTTTATTTCGTCGTATTTTAATTCGTTTTATAAATGAACAAAACTTTAATTTATTTTATGAATTGCAAAAATAACGAGTTCATTCGTGATTATAAACATGGAAGTAAAGAGATTTTAAACAGCTTTAAATTGTTTCTGTATTATACAAACATTAAAAAAAAATGATCAAAGTCCTCGTGTGAGATCGAAGGGACTTCAGCGCATTTTTGTGTGGCAGATCAGTGTTTTATTAGCCAATATTGACTCCACCATCAATAAGATCTTGCCGAAAGCTACCACGTTCACTTTGTCGGTACCATTTTCTCACTTACCGTGCACTCGCAATTCGCGTTTGAAGTTTCGACTCCACCATCAGTAAGATCTCGTCGGGGGTTACCACATTCCCTTTGTCGATACACAGTTCCGACGTCCCGTTCATTCGTAATTCACATTTTGGTAGATTTCGCTAAAATCCCGGCATAAAATCGTATTCAACTTTTGGGTACTTCACATAGCTCGACCTTCTATTAGTGACACGAGAAAGAGAGACCGCGATTCGCGCTGTAAGAAACTTTTGGGCGCCCAAAGTCGACTACCCCTCGAAGCGCGCCGCGCAAAAGGTGGTTTATTTCGCCCCTAGGAAAAAAACAAAATTCCGCTACGCAGGAGTTGTGCGCGTTGACAAGATCTTCCCGACGACACCAATTTGAAAACAATCGGAGAAAAACTGTAGAAGAAGATAGATAAAAACTGAAAAATCTCCAGGTTAGTATAATACGCTCGGGGATGGCGTCCAGATGTCGTCGACTCCAAATCTTGTAGCCCCATCCCTAACGTTCTTAATTACACGGCCCCGATAGTTACATGTACACTCCTTGTCTTCTTACAAGCGTTTTTCTACGGGCGCGCATTTACTGCCAGCCAGCCGACCAGCCAGCCAGCCAGCCAGCCAGCCAGCCAAAGTGAGATTAAAAGCTACATTTTACCAAAAAAATTTTTTGCAAAAATGCGCTAATTAGTCCAACCACCTCGTGCTAACGGTGCATGAAAGCTTTTCCATTATACGGTTTGGCAGTGCCGAAATGTTTGGATTTAGTTTGAATAAGTATATGAACCTCCGGACCCCAAACCCAGTATTTTGAGAAATCTGGAAACGTGGAATTTGGTGGCGGATTTATAAACTTTGCCCCCCGCGTACGCGGTGGCAGTTCGTAGTTCACCGAAGATATTGACCAATGGAAAAAGAGTACCCATTTGGCGCGCAAATTAGTTTCAAAGTTGCTCGTTTTGGCGTGTGAAGTGTATTCATATCCTTTACAAGTCTTTTATATATGCTTATTCTTAATAAATCTTGCACAGAAATAATTCTTGTCCCTTTCATGAGCAAACTGTAAACTAAAAATACTTTAACCGAAATAAGATCGACAACGGGTCCGTTCACTTAGCCCCCCATTAGCCCAAAAATGAACCAATTTTGTTTTATGTATTCTACCTCAATTGTGCATTTATGTGCACCGTTTGTGCCTTTTTGGTTTTGGAGATAATCGAAAAAATCAAATGGGGCTAAGTGAACGCTTAGGTCTCATCGAATTGGTTTGTACAAACTATAACTTTCCCGTGCGACACTTTTTCGAGATTAGTGAGCTTCGCCCTCATTAATCAAACTGCAAATTCATGAAAAAAAGTATCACTTTCAAAACTAGTTGTACAAACAACTATTTTAAACGCATTTTTTATTAAAAAAATACGCCGTATGTAAGCTAGATGGCGCGGTTGTAATAAAATGTCAAAGACGTTATTTCTTTTTAATTAAATAAGAAACATAAAATCGTCAACACTGATTTAATAATTAAATTTACCCTATGTTCACTTTATTTTACTGAATTCAAGAATTTATTTTTCGTACTTTCGAGACTAAAGTGACAACTTCACTCCGTTATGACAAGTACTGAAGTATCACTTTTTGTCCCGCCGGGATTAAATTTGGACGAAAATCCCGGAAGGATGAAATTACTAACGAGGCAATTTCAGTAGGTTGTTCCACATTTTGTATGCGGCACTACTTCTTAAACGTATGGTACTGCTGCTCATATACTTTTTTGGATTTAGCTGGTATCAATTCTTTACCTAGTTTGGCTGCTTTTTATCAAAATGAAATACTCCTTTTTCTACAATCGATATCCAAAGTAGGCATTTGCGCTCGTATTTGACAACGCAAACGTCATCTTTTTCGAGGAATGTCACTTTGTCGCTTATAAGCGACAAAATAGAAAAAACGCTCGCTCTCCCAATTATTTACTATAAATCAAATATGCATTGCTCAGAGTATCCAATGACAACGAGTAAATGACATCTTTCATTTGGGCATAAGATTAAAATGATTTGTGTGAAAGATGTAAATTTTTGGAAATATGTGAACTGCTCGATTGTAGAAAAAATCTTGTGTGTAATTCGAGCGCAAATTGATTGTCGATTTCAAGAGATTGCCGCGCTCCTTCGTCGCGCGTCAACTGTCTCTTTCAATCGACAATATGTCATTTTGCGCTCTTAATACACAAATAGCTATTGTCACCCACCACCAAAATTATGACACTATAGCAATGACAGTTTCCAAATTATTTTTGTTACCATAGCATAGGGATTGTCGTACCAACGCAACGTTCCTATGGTAACTATTTAAGTAGCGATTTTTTGAAAGAACGCGTTCTCTAACTTTACCTTCGGGATTAAAAGTACTACTTCAGTCCCGCGGTATATAGGTAATATACTATAATTACCGCGAACCTATACCTATCAATTTTTCGTGAATTTGAATACTTTCCCAATATCACGTGACCAATTCAAAGATATTTTTTAATGTTATTGTTTAATTGTCATCGTTTTTTCCCCATGCTGTCTTTCCAATTTTGCATTGTGTACTTCTAAAATATTTTTTTCGTGTAGTTAAATCAAAAATCGTGAAGAAAAGTGAGACTTTTCTTGTTAGCAACACTTTTCTTCACGATTTCAGTTAGCAACACTTTTTTTCATTCATTTTGTTTATTATTGTAAATCATAAATGAACAAGTTATTAAATATTACACCAGAAGATGTGGAAAGCCACCACAACGTTTATAAAATATAAATCCATCCTCCGATGTAACTGTGAAGGCTCGTTTTATCTTTGATTTTGTACAGTGTAATGTTATGACCAAAATATTTCCGCAATCTTCTACATCATCCACTTTTAGTAACCGTAATTCTTTCGCCCGATAAAGTCCGTGCAGGGCAATTACCAACACGACCTTTATAAACAGAAACTTGTCATCAGGAGACTTTTCTAAAAACTCCTTTACGTTATCCATCGATAGAACTCTCGATTTTTTGCCGCATAACCGTCATTTTGACGTTTCAGGTAAGCAAGTAATTTTTTATAAACAGAAATATCCACATTTTCATTTATTTGTAGAGTACATCTCAGCATCGAGTATTGTGACCATAGTGTAGAAGCTTTAAGTTTCTATGCCTAAGAATATTTAAAAATCAGTGCTAATAAATTTGATAAATACGAGTAATACAAACCTTTCCAATAAAGTACGCAATTAGAATATCTTCATTTGCCCCTTGCACATTTTTTATGTTTCTCCAGTCACAGAACTGTAGGTAACGCATTTCTCGTACTTTACTTTGGACTTTTTGGGTAATAAACTTGACTCTGCTTCTAATACCAATTGTAAAGTTTCTTCATTATTCCCGTTTGATTGACTCATTTTAAATGAGCGTTAATTCACAAATTATTTACTTCGTATGTTTTGTTACCATATCAACAAATGCTCAACATACTTTGATATTATAATAAATTATTCTTCGACATCAAAACAAAACGTTACAATTAGAGGTATTTTTATAAACTACACGAAAAAATAGCATGCTCTACACGTAAGAAAAGTGAATTTCTATGCTCGTGCAAATTTGATCCACTCGTGAGCTGCGCTCACTCGTGAATTCAAACATTTACACTCACTAGAAAACTAACACTTTTCTAAACTGGTAGATCAATGTACTATTCCAATGCCGACGCGTTTTTATTGAATTTAATCCCTAATTTTTGTGCATTAATAGGTAATTTTAATCAGATTTCTTGTAAAACATTCAGAAAGTACCTATTCATTTTCTTTATTTTGAGAACAGGTAATATGAAAAGCACAATTTATAAAGAGCCTTAGTGGTACCTACATCCAGATCTTCCTATATAATGCCAAATAACTGAGTTCTTCTCCGCCTCAACAATGGTAAAAACTCTTGACTTTTAGTTTTTGTATCTAGAATTCTAACTACCAGCATCGATTCTCAATTCCTCTGATCTGCAAGCTGCAACTTCCTCCAATATCCATAATTGTCACAGTCTACAACCACAAACTTTGGAAGCATGAGCAGGCAATGTTTTACACAAACTAACCTTTATCAGCAAGTGACATCTTAGGGGATGAAAGAAGCGCCTTCATATGCTTCGTCACTTTCGTCTTCAATATTTTTAGAAGGATTTACAGGAATGATTTTACCAAAATAAAAAATTCTTAATTTTTGTTGACAGTTACAAACAAGCGAGCGTAATTATGACACCCTAAAAAGCCTACCTTACGTTTTCATAGTTTTTATAGCATGTTAATTTTCAAATGGATTCAGATCGGTCGGTATTGGAAAAAATAGTATAAGTAACACTGGATTAAACTAGTTTTTGTTCCCTCAAGAATATTAAAGCCCTCGGCTTTAAACCATTCTTTCAGGAACAAAAACTCTTTTTAATCCCTTGTTACTTAATATACTATTAACAAGTTTTATTCTGTAATTTCCTTAAGCCAGAAGATGACCGTTGGTCGAAACTAGTCGCGACTTTTACAATTTGTCTATTAAAATCGAGATTAAAATAGTATGGGGAAGGTTTTGAGTCTTTTTGGGATTTAACCTGGGATTTAACGACTCACTCTAACATTTACATTAACATTAAGCTCGTTCATACTAATTTAACATGATATCACATTACATTCTAACACATGAAGATGCTCTATTCAAACGTTAGGCCACATCTCTATTGATCGTAGAATGATGCTCATGTCATCTTTCGCGGTGATGACTTCCATTCGACTGTTTCAGTTTTC